AAACACAACTCACATGGGCTAGGTTCAGAAGAAACTAAGGTGATGGTGTTCCCCACAATGAGCTGGAGATCCTTACAGCAGCCAAACGAGTGATGCTATTGACACTTAAAAGTTTCACAGGTTCAAGGGGTGGCTGTACAATCCCACTGAGGATTGCCACAGGTGCAGTGGTGAAAGAAATGGGATTTATAGCTTTATTCCTCAGATCAGCATCAGACAGAGCAGTCCAGGGCTCAGAGCCAATGACTGATCACACTGCTGCAGTGTAAAAGGCTTTTACAAACCTTTCAAATAGATGTGAGTTCCTGGCAAGACAACCAAAATAAAACCATACCAAAAGGGGAAGCTTGAAGAAATTTCAGCAATTTTTATTGATTTCAGCTTTTCCAACGAAGCAAATACATACAGTACAGCCAAAACAAAACTCTGATACATTATTCTCACATACCTATATCTTACAGAATACACTGTATAGCTATGGACTGGTAGGCAAAGTTGATCTCAAACTGGTGTGTGGTCAGAGGGGAATAAAAGTGCCTACTGCCTTCTACTCGTCCATGAGGCTTCTGAAATGCTGGGATAGGCTGGACTTTACGTACACAAAACAAACAAAGCACTTATGAGAAAATAGACCAAAATATTCTGCTATGCCCAGGACAAACAAGTATGGCATTTATTTACATGATGCATGTCCTGTGCACAAATCATGCCCTAACTGCTCTTATTTCCACTGCTGGTAGAGCTAACGGTGCTGCTAGCCATGGTCCTTCCCTCCTTTGTAGTTCTCCATCACTCTGACTCAGAGCGTGTGCTAGGTACTGTAGGCCTGCCCTCATCAGTAAAATTGCGGATATGCCCTATCTTGGCTCTCAAACAAGCAAAAATGGGGAAAATAGCTCATCGAAGAGGATATCACAGTTAAAGACATGCCTTTAAGAAACAATGTCTCCCTAGAAAGAATAATGGAGGTCAGAATAGCATGCATTCACTGCAGCGGGTACTGGGTACCTCACTGAACTCTGCCTCTGGTAAGACTGTTGTTTGGAAAAGAAGTTCCTGAAACCGCTGCTTATAAAAAGCATCAGACCATAAATCTGATTTTCTTTTCTCTAGCAATTTGACATCAGTGTCACTTCATTGACTTGGGTAGAGTCTATCATCTAGATTTTAAAAAGAGAGACTGACGGGAAAATAGACTTAAGTATCAGAGAACTTCCTGTGGAAAGAATAGCTGCAAAATAGCCTGGCATGACTGGGTGGTTACGATTTACATAGCACACCGTTCTTTCTTTATTTTGAGGTATGAGAGCAGTACCATACAGCATCAAAAAAAAATTTAGGTTGGAAGGGACCTCTCTGGTTTGACCTTCTGCTCCAACCAGGAGCCAGATCAGGTTCAAAACAGGTTCAAATCTGTTTCTGAAGATCTCCAAGGATGGAGACCGATTTTATTTTTATCATTTTATTAGCTTTGGCAAAAGCAGTTTGCTGAACTTAATAGAATTTATGTGAATGATGTATCTGTTTCTTCATGTTTAATAATTACTAATGAAATCTCCAGTGCTTGTAAAGATATAATTGCCTTATCATTATCATAGAGCTACAGCTCTTTGTGTCTTATGCAATGATACAGTCAACTAAACTACCAGTGAAAGCAGACTGTTTTAAAACAAAGGTTAAGTAACAGCCAATTAGAATGGATTTCCTCAATATTCCATTATTACATTCTGTTCGAATTTGAATTGCTTTCCCAATTAATTTTACAGAGAAAAAACATTAAAACCTAAACATAAAAACATTACCTCCCAGGACTTCTACTGAACGTGTAATTACAGAAATAAATCTGCATGCAAAATTGCACAAAGCATACTTTTACTTTAACATCTTTGCTGTGG